ACCTTCACTATACTATTATACTTTTATATGTTTGGAAGTTTGCATAATCAAAAGTAGAAAGAGGGGAAATTTAATTGTAATACCTATCTCACAATAGTTGTGGATTTCAAGTATCATCATTATATTGGGATTTACAAAAACTAATTATTACCAGGAATTTTTATATATCCTATTAAATCATCCAAAAAAAAAAAAATCCTATGAAATGCACAGTCATCATCTGTTTGGCAGATGAGGAAGCCAAAGCTTAGAGTACTTAACTAGTCAGGAACCCCACAGCTGCCCCAGGGCTAAAATGTTATCTGAAACTACAGTTATCTGACTCTACTATCATACCACCTATATTGCAAGAATGATTCAAGAATGGGAGCTCTGGTGGCATAGTGTCTAAGGCATTTGACTGTTAACCAGAAGACTGGTGGTTCAGACCCACCTTGTGGGAAGCCCAAGGAGGAGTCGTTATGAGTAGGAATAGACTTGATGAGTTTGGTTTTTTTTGTTTGTTTGTTTGTTTTGTACTTCAAGAGTAGTTCATTATGTTCTACTTGATTGACACCTACATGACTTATCATGATACCTAAACGCTTGAGATCATGAATTTATCTAGGCGGGTGGTTTCCTAACTCTTTGCTCAGCAGCAGAACCCTTTTTTTCCAATGCAGCCTTACTCAGAACTCCAGTAAGTAAAACAGGTAAAAACTGAACAGTTCTGTTGAAGTGAGGCCTGGGACCCAGCAAGGAGGCACTTCACTTCAGGGTGCCCTCCAAAACACCATAGGATCTAGTTTGAAAATTATAGATGGAAGTCAACAACAACATCCCAAATCCTAAGATTTATATAGTAAGAACAGCCTACGTTTGTATAATGCATCTTTCATTTTCCTGTGGCCCATCACATTTGATACTTATCGTCAACTCTGAGGTGAACAGGGTAGGGCACATCACTGTCAATTTGCAAATGAGAAAATCAAGGCCAAGTGAATTTAAGCAACTGGCCAAAGGTGTGCCAGTTCATTTTTCCACCAAGTACAGATTGGAAGTAGACTCTGTCTCTGTTAACTGTGTGACCGGGCAGGGAGGGTGCCATTGACTGGAAATGCTACTGAGCCTTGGTCCACAGAGTGGATAATAGGTCCCTTGACCACTGGGAGGTGAGCACAGTCCCATGAGCCTCTGCCAAAGCCTGGTCCCTGAGCAGATGGCTATGGCAGGGAAGAGGGGACTCAGTGTCACTGGAGGACCATTCCCATCAGAGCCATGTCATGCTGAGTATAGGGAAGAGAAGGTGGTAATAGCCAAAGTGTCTTTCACTGTCCTTTGCAGCAAGTAGATAAATGAACAGGCAGCGCAGACCTGTGTGCAGTTACACTTTGCCTTTCCTCTAGCTCTTGCTTGGGAATCCCAGGATCCAGAGGCAGCTGATAATTGCCTGAATGGCTCCCCCATTCCACAGCACCTCCGAATGGAGCTGGAGCATGTGTTGGAACAGGCAACACTTAATTATCACTTAGTCTTTAATTAGCACTAAATTATTGACACTTAATCCATCTGTAAAATGGGGACACTAATACCTGCCTCATAGAGGCTCTGGGAGGATTAATTAATGCTTACAGCCCACTTTGAAGATGCAAAACAATGAAAAATGCTCAACAGTGGCATTAATATTTATATTTACATTCATATTCTTTTCCTAATGAGGTCCCTTCTTCCTCTTTGTTCCTCCCTCTCCTTGCCAATTTTTATCCCCAATAATGCGTGCCCAACTCTGCCCTGGTAGAGAAAAACTTAGCTCTGTATTTCCCAGACATAGGATTTCCCATCCAGGAAACAGGCTATTTACAGCCATCTTTTTGCACTTTAATTTTCTATTATGTCCTCTGAATATGTCAATGCCTTCCCAGTAAATATTTTGATGTGAGCTTTTGCAGAGGCTTCTGTGGAGGCTGAATGGGACAGCTGCTCCCTGTATTAGGAAATTCCAGATGTACTTTAACATCATCAGACTCATGTGTGTGAATGCCCAGCCTTTGTGGGGTAGGACAAGGAAAGGATCCTCTGGTTCACTCTGGGAAAAGCTATAGGCCTCAAAAGAGATAGAGATCTAACCCTCAGCCTTGGCTAGGGTGGCCTTTCAAGGACCTCACACCCCAAACTCGTTTAGCCCTGCATTTAGGATGAAAAATGTTCCCTTACTCAAAACTCACTGCCATCGAGTTGGATCCAACTCATAGAGACCCCTCCTTGGGTTTCCAAGGCAGTATCACTGCGAAAGTAAATTGCCCCATGTTCCTTCCACGGAGTGGCTGGTG